GATAATAAATTATTCAATTTTAGCTAGTTTTTAAATTTAGCACTTTAAATTCGGCTCTCTCGGCCTCTCTGAGCCAAGTTTCAGGTCCCTCTGACTTCTAGTTTTTTCGCTAGAAGCTAAGTACATTCGCATTTTTGGGTTTTCATCCTATTACCCCTAACCCTAACCTAAAATAAAAAAGTGTTTAAGTGATCAAAATAGTAACCCAAGAACAAAAAACTGTGTATTTGATCACATGTGAGCAGTGTAACCAACAGTATGTCGGGGAGACGGGCAACACCATGTTGGTCAGATTCACACAGCARAGYTACAATATTTTGAGGACAAAAGAGACACACACCCCACTTGTACAGCATTTTATTCTGCATGGTTGGGAAAGCGTGAAAGCTACAGTGCTGCAGGCCAATCCCAGGTGGTCCATAGCACAAAGGAAAAGAGCAGAAAGGATTTGGATTAGTAATCTGGACACCATGATACCAAGAGGCCTAAATGATAAAAACGAAAAAAACTACAGATGGGTTTCTAAACTCTTAAACTTTTATTCTGGTTAAAACTTGTTTTAACTCCYACGCTAACCATAAATACCTAAAACCAACTAGTCTTCACTGTCAAAACAAGTTCCACCCATTGTGACTAAACTTTAACTTAAACTAATTATGAATGGAATTTAATTATAAACTTTCAGTTTTTAGATTATGAATTGGTAGGTATGAATTTTGAATTTTTAGGTCTTGGATTATGGATTTTTACTTTTGGGATTATGAATTGATGGTCTTTGATTATGAATTGGTAATTTTTGAATCACAAATTTGAAATCTTAAATTATGAAGTTCTAGTTTTTAACTTTAAACTTAGAAATCTAAATCCTAAAGTCTACCAGGACTCAAAAATATATTGCCTAAAATTTAACCAGTCAGAGACCACAGTACCTAAAAGTTAATCAGAGAGCACATTGGCTAAAATTAACCAGGGAGCACAATGCCTAAAATTAACCAGCCACAGGTTGACCTWAATTAACAGAGTCTAAATTTTAACATTAAAATCCAAACTCACTTTACGGTGCTTAAAAATAACCAGTCAGAAAATGACCTAAAATTAACCTGATCTAAATTTTAACTCTTAAAACCCTAACCCAGACTGCAGCGCCTAAGATTAACCAGTTAAAAGGATGACCTAAGATTAACACAAGTCTAAATTTTAACTCTTAAAATCCTAACCCAGACTGCAGCGCCTAAGGTTAACCAGCTAGAGGATAACCTAAAATTAAACTGAGTCTAAATTTAACTCTAAAATCTTAATCTACACTACAACGCCTAAAATCAACCAGTCTGAGATTTACATAACCTTTGACCCCTGGTCTGACCTCTAATTTCTGATAATAAATCCTGATTCTGATCCTAATCCTGACCAAGACAACAGAGTCTAAAAATGAACATATCAATTAATCACTGGAGAAACAAACTCCAACCACTGTGATTGTCTTCTTACCTCCAATTTTTTAAAATCTAATACTAATTTTCATCATTTTCCAAGTTMAAACGGACCTTCCTTCTGCCGACTGGGGGTCACTTTGTGGGAGAGATGGAGGACCAGGACAGTGATGGCCAATGTTTTAAAACCTGCAGCATTCGGRGACAGGATTTCAACTTTTCTTGTCCCAACCAGAGTCATCAAGAAATTTGCTTCTCAGTAACAGAAGAGCAAAATTTATGTACAAAAAATAAAACACTACATGACATAGTAATACCATTTGTAATGCTTTTAAATATTTCAGTTTATTTAATAAATACACTGATGTGAAACATCTTAATAAACATGTGATTGCTTTTTGAGATATGTTTATTTTGGAGTTGTAGCCCCACCTGGAGAAAAATCCACCAGCCACCACTGGTGAAGAGCAAATAATTTTACAAAGTCATCCACTGCCACAAACCTGTCCCATTGGTCTATGGAGGTCTCTTTAGCGCTGTTATAAGCTTAGGTAATCCTCCAAATGTGGTTGGCTTCTTCAGGTGAAAACCCCCCCAGAAWAACTGCTGCCTGCTAGATCCTTTCTTGACTGGTCCATTCGGTTAGATTTAAAGGTTGAGGTGGGATCCATGATGCAGGCAGGCAGGCTTGATTAATAAGAAAATATTTATTTTGACAAAAACCTGTAAAAAAAAAAGCTGTGGCAGCAAAACACAAGAAATGCAGAGGCACAGGGAAATAATCCAAACAGAGGGCAAAGTCATACAATGGACCAGTGAAGTAATGTGGAGCTAAGATGCATATTTATGCAAACAAACAGAGGAGTGAGGATGGGCAACAGCTGAGGAGGACTGATTAAAAAAAACTGCTGACAGGTGAGTAGATTTAACTAGAGAGGGACTGAAAAACTCAGGGCTGAGATGAAAGTGTAAAACACAGGAGAAACACTAGAGGGAGACATACAAGACCACAATCCTCAGTGACATTTCAATAGGACACTACAAAATTGAACTACAGGTGCTGGTCATAAAATTAGAATATCATGAAAAATTAGATTTATTTCAGTAATTCCATTTAAAAAGTGAAACTTGTATATTATATTCAT